TTAAATAATAACCGCTAACCATTGTATAGCCAAACAGTTATATTTATCGAATCTGTTATTTACCATCCGCTACTCACTTTTTGCTGTCTGCCATTCGTTATCCGCTAACCGTCACCTGCTACCCGCTACCGCTATCTGCTATCTGCTACTTGCTATCCGTTATCCACTAAATTTTAACCGTTGTACCAAATATGCTTTTAGTATTGTAAGAAAAAAAAAGTTTATAATTTAGAGTATAACAACTACTTATCAAATTTTCACTCATTAAAATTAAAGAAAAATACATTTTTATTTTTATGTTCAATAACTTTCCCAACATATGGCCCTCAAAAAAGGAAGGATTTTTATTTTCCAGTCGTAAATAACGGGGTTACGGAATCTTCCACGCGACGATTCCCACCCAAAAAAGACGTGGTGACCACCATTTCAAATTTCAATGAGGAGGACGGCAAACCCCGTGTCCGGCGATATCGTGTCAAACCAATGGGTGCTGCTATACGAGTAATTATTTTATATTATTTTTTATATAATTTTTATATGTAATTAAATGAATAAATAAATATATTTGATATTATGAATTTTATATAAATTAAAAAAATTAATTATTTTAATAACATATTAAATTATATAAAAAAAATTATACAAAAATTATTTTCTGTTAATCAACAATGCGGGCCGAACATGCTTCCACGTGTACTGCCTTCACAACCCTCCCGGCCTTAAGCTCCTCACCCACCCGTAATCATATCACCGCCAAAAAAAATTATATATTAAAAATCAATTATCTGTCAAATGTTAGGGGCGAAGAAAAAGGTTAAAAAGTCTAATTTCGTCCTTTAATTATTGTATAAAATTTTAATTTTATCTTTAAATTAAAAATTTTTGGATTTAATTTTTAAAATATTTAAATTTGATTCTAAGTTGACCTTTTGTTTAAAAAAATATTTGATGTGTTTATTATTTAATAATAAAAATTATTATTTAATGATTATATATTAAGTTAATAATGAGACTATCAATTATTTTTGTAAAAAATTAATTTAAGACTAAATTTAGAAATTTTAAAGCGCAAATCAAAGATTTTTTTAAGTTTAAGAATTAAATTAAAGATTTTTACAATAATTGAAAGAATAAATTCTGAGTTTAACTAAAAAAGAAAAATTTTAAAAGGCGCAAAAATGTTTTATTTTAAATAAATTTCCATTTTTCCACCCCACGCATTATTGAGTGCCAGCCCATAGAACCCACACTTCCTCTGAGAAAGAAACTCCTCCTCCCAAATCTAGAGAGAGAAGGGAAGAGAGATATGCAGATGATCTCCAAAGCTTCATGTACTATGGCGGCCTTTCCTTGTTCAAAGGTTCGATTCCTTTCTTCTCTGAATCTTTTCTCTCTTTTTCCTCTTTTCATTTTTTATAATTTTTTTTTTTTTTATGGTTTATATATTTCGCATACATGTTTTCATCTTCTTCCTTTGCTACTGCTACTTTTTCTGTGAAGTTTGCTTGGTATTCTGAATATCTACGGGAGAATCATGGTAATACCTGGATTTCTTTTGTATTCGAAGGAGGAAACAGCAATTCCTGGTTCGCTAATTGTGTTTTTTCGATTTCTTTTGCTCTTAGTCTTTAATCATTTGCTTAATGAGCTTATTTGTGAAAAATAGCGAAAGATGAGTAAAGTTTTTTTTATCTGTAGATTTTGGTCCGGAGTTATGAATTTCAACATCTATTCGTGGAAATCATGGCATAGTCTAGCAAAATAGGTCAATTGCTGCATTAATGTTTATTCATTGACGGGCCCTTTTGGTTATTTGTCATTGTTATCATTTTTCAAGTGCCTGTGTAAGGATTTTGATGAGTTTTGGTGTGATTTTCGTAAACAAGTTGCATTTGATCTACTCTGCCGATCTGAAACTGGTCTGGTTTGTTTTGATTTGTTGCTCGTTAGTCTGTTAGTTTCTTACATTTTGATAGTTGTTGTGATGCCAGATGTTTGCTCTTGATCTAATAAAATTAGCGTTTAGAGTTCTTTTGCTATTTTTTTTTTTTAATTTAATTTTCATTTTGCTAAATCATTCCTGACTTTTAAGTTTTGGATTACAACATTACATTTCCATTTTGCTCTGGAAAGTTTCATTTCTAATTTATATGATTTTGACTTACTAAAGTTTTAATGTTTATCCCTTTCCTATTGTAGGTTAGGAAACGGCTTTGTGTTTGGCCAAGCATGAGACAATTTTGTCTCAGAAAGGGCCTTGTCTATGGGTTTATGCACTTATTATCAAGACCGTTAAAAACCTTGCGTGGAGCTAGTCGATCTCTTAGAGTTGCAGAATTCTGCAGTGTTTCCAACATGTCTTCATCATTGCAAATTGAATTGGTAACTATAGCTCTTTAATTTTTATTTCTATTTGATACAAGATAGGGTAATTGTCTTTGCTTTTGATCTTTTGTTAACCATTTGCTTTTCTTATCATACGTTGTCATTTTTTCTCCATGTGGTGTCTTTAGTTTGAACAGCACATTAGCTAGTTTATTGTGGTGAGTTTGGAATTAGTATGTTCATCTTTTCCTACTTGAGTGCTAAACTTAGGGTCCTTATTGGGTTTCCTGATCTTTAAAGAGATGCCAAATACAATTTGATGAATTGAACTCACATGATCACATCCTTTGAACAACTAACCCAAAAGTACAGTATTTAATTGTTCAGCTGAAAGGATTGATATGGACTTGCATGTTTACCTTTCTAGAATCCTGATGTAAAATAAAAACTATCATCATTAAAGGTTGGAAATTAAGTTTTGTTTGTTATCGGCAAAACACCTATATCATATATAAATAAACCTTACTTAACTGTTTTTCTTTTCAGGTGCCATGTCTCAGGGATAACTATGCATACCTTTTACATGATGTAGACACAGGCACTGTTGGAGTTGTTGATCCGTCTGAAGCCTCACCACTTATAAATGCTTTGAGTAGGAAGAATTGGAATTTGAATTACATACTTAATACTCATCACCATTATGACCATACTGGTGGGAATTTGGAGTTGAAAGCAAGATATGGTGCTAAGGTATGTTCTCCTGATAATGCTCTTCTATCTTGCTGTACTGATATGAGATGGTTGATGGCATATTAAATGGCCATAAACCTATACATGAAATGATCATCTGTAGTCTGATAGGGTCCTCTTGCATATTGCATGTAATGTTGGGTACTACTTTTTTGCATTGTTTTGCTAATTGCAATGCATGATGATAGCGAATTTGAGGGATGCTTGCTGTTCTATTCCTTATAAGGAAAGATTTTAGCCATTAAAACAATGATTTTTTTTTCCTTGTAATCACTTCTAAGTCATAGCAACCGCCTATGGGGGTTTTTGCATGGTGGTAGGCTCATATCTGAGAAATTTTGTGTTATTCTTTTTTGCCTTTAGGTGATTGGTTCAGCATTAGACAGGGACAGGATTCCAGGTATTGATATAGTTCTAAATAATGGGGAAAAGTGGATGTTTGCAGGTCATGAGGTGCATGTCATTGAAACTCCTGGTCATACTCGAGGTAATATTTAGTTACTTTGCTATATAAAAGATTCTAGTAAATAAGAAGCCTTTATTCAATTTCTAATTCAATTAATTAAAGCAGTTATTCACTTGCTGATTTTATTGCTGTATTTTCATGTTCTTGTAACAAAAATTCTTGGGGTATAGTCATAATGTTATTGAAAGGTTTTATTTAATATGTTCATTTGATGGAATTATGTGTTCTGATTCATTAAGAGTCTTAGTGAACTAAATGGTGTGTATTTTAAATTTATTTCAGGTTATAGCCTTTTTCTTGTTTTTTCATTTTAAATTCCATTGTGAGCAGGACATATTAGCTTCTATTTTCCTGGTTCTGGAACAATTTTCACGGGTGACACTTTATTTAGTTTGTCATGTGGAAAGCTTTTCGAAGGAACTCCCGAACAGGTAATTTTTACTTGCTTTTGGTAAGTAAGCTTCGGTGTGATGATTTCTATTTTATTTTAGTTCCTGCCAGTGATGAAAATTGTCATCTATAAATATGAGGGACATTTTAGATTGAGAGGTAAATCTTTGTAAATGAAATTATGAACTCTTTATTTATTTATTTATTTTTCTATGGAAGGTTATTTTACATGTTACAATACATATGGAGGTTTGTTGGAAGAATGAACTTATTCTTGAATCATCAGGATTTAAAGTTTCAGATCAATTTTTCCAATAGAAATGTGGTTCATGAGTATATTTTAACTGAAATTATTCATTTGGTTATGCTAACCTAACTAAAATCTGTTGAAAATTGCATGCTTGAAGTGTTCACCAGGTTTGCGTAGATAATATGATCTTGTCTTCTAAGCTGGGAATTTGACTAAATTGTTTTGCTTTGTCTATGACATCTGGCATATCTCAAAAGCTAATTATCTGTTCTGCAGATGCTTTCTTCCCTAAAGAAGATCACATCTTTGCCAGATGATACACATGTATACTGCGGTCATGAGTATACGTTGGTTAGTCATATATTTTGGCCATTTAGTTTTATTTCCCAAGCTTTTTTTTTTCCAAGCTATGAGTTACTGGGGGCTTTAACAAAGTATACCCACTTTGACAGAGTAATTCAAAGTTTGCATTGTCCATAGAACCCAACAATGAGGCACTCCAGTCTTATGCAGCTCATGTAGCACAACTTCGTGGCAAGGGGTTACCTACGGTAATTTCTTAGATATTCTTGCTTTGGTAATAAACTTTGAAAGTGTTCTGTTTTTAGACTTGGTTTCTGAAATGTTTTTAAGGGATTTTGTTTGTAAAATTTTAACAATTCCTAGGGTTAAATCAACAAATTTGTGACTCAAGTTAGCCTGATATCTTTGACTGTTCAGGGGGCATTGGCAGGTGGTCCTCCATTTCATTTGTGATTGTTGCTTGTTGTTTGATTGTATTGTTCATTTCATATTTGATTGCATGGTTTTCATCCTCCATACAATTGAGTTGAGAATTTGTTTTATTTTTGCGTGCAATTGATGTTTCTGTTACCTTATTTCAAATCATTGTATTTCAGTGATTCAATGTAAATTTCCTGAAATTGACTGCTGAACTCTTGTATCAGATTCCTACTACACTAAAGATCGAGAAGGCATGTAACCCATTCCTTCGCACTCCTAGCACTGAAATCAGGCAGACATTAGGTATTCCAGTCACATCAGATGATGCAGAAGCCTTGGGTATCATCCGCCATGCAAAGGATAATTTCTGAGATTAGTTACAACTGAAATCCAATATGTGTATGAGAGAGGTGAGCTCTACATGCGTGGAATAACGAATAAGCTCTATCATGTCAATATATTTTTTTAATATTGCAAGGTTCTTTTGAAATTTGCATATATTTTATTTGTAATTCAAAAGATATATTCTTTTACCCCTTAATGTAGTTGGGAGAAATTCATTTAAACACTTATTCTGTTTATATTCCTTGTAATCATGTTTCATGCTTTTTTTATTGGCCGCAGCTTCAATGTTGCATGCTTCATGGTCAATCACCATGTTTCTTCTAAATTACAGTTGTTGAATTATACGCAACTATCTATGTACCAAAAAAAATTATACGCAACTATCTTCTAAATTGGATGTCTCTTTAGCTTGCTTTTCTCAGTTGTACGTCACATTTGTCCATAGAAGTATCATGTTGAATGTAGACTTCCTCCAAAATTGGTATTGACATCACAAGCTTGATTTGGTCATTGATCTCCCCTTTTTATGATATATCTTTACAGATCTCGTGGGTGATGGCCTTTTGCTTTAGCCTTTTGTGTTAGTTGTTTTTGCTTTGGGGTTGCTTTGAGCTACTATAATGGATAGGTATACCAAACACTACTTGCCCCTTAGTTTACTCTTGCCCCTTCTCAACTGATTCCAACCTCTTAAGCAATTGACAAATTGACATCATACCTTTGAAATTGATAGCAGTTTGGTTGTTTGTTTGTTTTGGGAACATGTGAAAGGAAAGGGAAACTTTTACTAAGGCAGGAGTGTGCCAGCAGGGATCGAACTCAGCCACAGGCTGACGATAATTGGTGCAGTGGTGCGCTTCCAACTGGGCGGCCGAGTGCTGGTATCTTAATCTTATCTACTCGCGCAACTTTTCCACGTTGCATCAGGAAATAATTGGTGCAGTTTAGATAAAATATTCGCAATACTTTATTGATGATCAGTGATTTCACCATCGTTATTTTGTTCGCTGTTCAGATTTATTAAACACTTCAAACACTTTTACCAAAAAAAAAAACACTTCAAACACAATATATTTCATATCGAGAATTTAGGCGTCAATATATATATATATATATATATATATTTTCTCTTAATTTCACAATCTCTAATCTACCCTTTCTCTACCTTTGCAAGTTACAACAATTAGGCTGCAGTGGCTACTGGTTTAAGTTTGGTATGTTTGTCGGGGACCATTGGTTCCTACGGGGCATCGCTTTTAAATGCATCTGAGAAAATTGTTTCCTACGGTGCCTCAGCTTTTAAATGCAGCTGACAAAAAACAATAAATGCCTCTTAATTTTTTGGCTTTTTTTCTCAACGATTAAATATGTAGATATTAATATGCAAATAATTCAGGGTGAGGATGTTGAGTTTATTTCTCTTGTTTTAAATTTTTATTTTTTAAGTAATTCACAGATGAAATAATGATTGTAAATCTTTCAATCTGGATGAATCCTTTAATTTGAATAGAGAACTTTTTTTCTTCTCTTCTGATCAATCCAATTCTTATTATATCACCTAAAGC